GGCGCCCCCCCCCCCCCCCCCCGGCACGTGGGCTAGGACTGGGAGCGCGATTCCTCGGTTATGATCCGTTATTTGTCGTTAAGTTTTCAAACGCGAAGGAAAGCCGCCGAGGCGCGCCGCCGCTCTGGGGCCTGCGGGTCAGCAGCCGCAGCACTGGGAAGCCAGAGGCCTCTCTCGTGTGTAACGTTCCGCCGGCGGCCAGGAACCTGACCGCACCGAACCCATGGAGCCTTCAAAAACTTGAGGGGGAGCTCTAAACATCTTAGTCGAGCCCCCCCCCTTCACTCCCTAGGTCGCTAATATGGTATTTTATCGCATTAGCACTAATGAGGGGTCCTGAAATGGCAGGCTGGTTAGTTTATTGTTCGTGAAGCACTTTGAGAGCCTCAGATGCAAAGTAATTTAGCTGTGTAAAGAATTAGTACAAACTTAGAAAACAACAAATAGTCTAGCAGCACCTTAAAGACAAACAAAACACGTCGATGGTATCATGAGCGTTATGGGCACAACCCACTTCTTCAGAGGACAGGAGTGTTGGAAGTCCAGATCCAAGAATTAGCATCTGCTGTGTCTCACTCAGTGTATCTGTGTATATAGCATTATTATTACTAGAGGCACTACCTCTGCAATCTTAGTGCTTGCTAACAGCCAGAAACTCTTTATGGGAACAGTTAAGTTAAGGATAGAAATAGTTTATCATTTGAATTAGCAATGATTGCACACATGAGTAACTACATAGAGAACTAGCTTATTGAATGGATGTTCCATTGACTACTTTTATACAGGTGAGCATCAGGTACATACATTTTTGTGAGATCAAAGCTTTGTATGGTCATTAAAATCCTGTAAAAAATATAAGGTGACATTTTGGCCCTATTGACATTACAGGCAGTCCCCGAGTTACGCGGATCCGACTTATGTCGGATCCACAGTTACGAACGGGGTTTTTCTCGCCCCGGAGGACTGGAGCGGCGGGACGCCCAGATGCGCTGTGGTCCCGCCGCCTGCGTCCTCCGGGGCGAGAAAAGCT